GGGGGGGGGGGCGGGGCGGGGGCTGTGTTGGGCACTGGACCCACGCCCAGCCCTCGGTATAAATATCCTGGGCTGCCGCTGCTGTGTTTACTCGGCCCCAGCCCCGGGGGCGGCAGCGGCCCAGCAGGTCCTGGAGGCGGGGATGACCAGGCCACAGCACAGACATTTCCTTCTGGCCAGACAGCCCCACAGCCTTGCTGCTCTCCTCCCACCCTCATTCTGGGCTCCGGGGGGCCCCCAGCAAAGCTTTGACCTGGACGTTGCAGCCAGGCTTCCCAGCATCTGGGAGATGGAGCAGGGCCAGACAGAGACATGGCAGGGAGAGGGACAGAGGAGAAAATGAGGGCTGAGACCAGGAGGGGAAGCTGCAAAAGAGAATGGGACAGGGAAACAGGCAGGGTTAGAGACGGTGGCAGCAGCTCAGAGGCCGAGATGGAGAGAACTGGGGGACAGATAGAGAGAGAGGAGGGAAAACAAGAAGGGGCGAAGATGAAAAGTAACAGGAAGTCATAAACAGCCAGAGGTGCTGAGACAGAGTAAGACAGGATGGGGAAAGGCAGAGGAACAGAAGGGAACAAGCAGCAGCAGGGAGGGTGGACAGGGAGGCAGGCAGGGACCTCAGCAGAGCTGGGGACAGTCTGGCTAGCTCTGGCAGGGTGTAGAGGTGTCAGACACAGGGGGTGGGAGTGGTGGCCAGGGCCAGGACAAACTGGAGACACTGGGTGGGGGCCGAATGCCCAGGAAGGGGCTCTCTCCAGCTGGGCCCTCCCTGACTCAGCCTATCCACTCACCGCAATCCCAGAACTGGGAGTGGAGGGAGAAGCACCCAGTGTGGGGGTGCACCACCTTGGGGTCTCAGCAACAGCTACAAGTCTGGCATCCCCCGTCATCCCTGCCGTCTCCAGGCTTCCTGTCTCATCTAATCCCTGTCCCTATGACAGGCTCCACCTCTGTCTCAGTTACACTCTCGTCTCGACCATCTGACTAACCCTAATTCTGACTCAGTTAACCCCAGGTCTCTCTTCCCTTAACTTATGTAACAAGTTCATTATGACAAAGTAGGACACAAACAGAGTCAGTGAGGAAGGCCCAGCCTGATCAAAGCATGGTCGGCCAGTGTGTGCAGCAAACTGAACTGTCATGCTGGGATCCCCATGAACTGTGGGCTCAGACCCCCAGGATGGCTTGAAAACACTCCAACACATCATGTATCCAGGATCCTGTGCAGCTGGAGGGCCGAGGAACGGGGCTGTGCCATGCCGAGATCCTGTTGAGGGTGCCCCTTTTTGTGCACATGCTATCATGAATAAAATAAACTTTAAAAAATTTAATGATCATGTGACATACCGGTCAAAACGTGCAGAAGGGCTGACAGCCCTGTGACCAAAGCACTCTTCCAAACTGAGGGCACACACAGGGTTTCAGTCCATCAGCTCCCAGCTCCTGCCCCTCCCAGGAGTGCCACCCCAATAGTCCTGGAGTCTAGCTGGCTGGACAGTTTCAGGCTGTTGCTTCCACCTTCCTTAACTTATGTAACAAGTTCATTATGACAAAGTAGGACACAAACAGAGTCAGTGAGGAAGGCCCAGCCTGATCAAAGCATGGTCGGCCAGTGTGTGCAGCAAACTGAACTGTCATGCTGGGATCCCCATGAACTGTGGGCTCAGACCCCCAGGATGGCTTGAAAACACTCCAACACATCATGTATCCAGGATCCTGTGCAGCTGGAGGGCCGAGGAACGGGGCTGTGCCATGCCGAGATCCTGTTGAGGGTGCCCCTTTTTGTGCACATGCTATCATGAATAAAATAAACTTTAAAAAATTTAATGATCATGTGACATACCGGTCAAAACGTGCAGAAGGGCTGACAGCCCTGTGACCAAAGCACTCTTCCAAACTGAGGGCACACACAGGGTTTCAGTCCATCAGCTCCCAGCTCCTGCCCCTCCCAGGAGTGCCACCCCAATAGTCCTGGAGTCTAGCTGGCTGGACAGTTTCAGGCTGTTGCTTCCACCTTCAGGAGGTGGGATGGTAACACTAACAGGACCGGCTGCGTGAGCTTGCAGCGAGGGCTCACACGTTCTAGTACCGGTCCTACATTCAGGTGGCTTGATGACATCAGCGTATAGGGCATGCCTGGCACACGGGGAAGGCCCCAAGGGCACTAGCCTTTGTTAGATGTCACCCTCCACCTAACTCTTCTTTAATCTTCCCGTTAGAGGAAGTGTCTGTGCATCTGGCCCTCAGCTCTGCCCAGCCTTGAGGCTCCAAGTTGACAGGCGGGCTGAACAGTGGTTGCTGGTTCCCAGCTCGGTCCTGCCTCTGCTGGCAGAGTGGCCTTGAGTCAGCGACTTCTTTCCAGGCTCCCTGGACCCAGCTGTGCAATGGAGCAGACAGTCCCCAGTTCACAGGGCTGTCTGGAGGCTTCAAGACCGTGCCAGGCACCTCACTTAGGCCTGGCCCAGGCAGGAGTGCTCAGCAGCTGGGGCTCCCAGTAGTTAACAGTCGCTCTGTCTGGACATCGCTCTCTGTCCAGCTCTCACTTTCCACATCTGGCTGGAGTTCTGGTTGACCCAGAGGGCAGGGCTCAGGCCTGGGAGTTCCAAGGGTCCTTCAGGGTTGACCAGGGCAGGGTGGCACCATTCCATCTCACAGAAGTGAGGGAGTCTCAGGCTCTACCTCACGGCTCCTGCCCCCCACCCTGCCAGGGGCCAGTCCCTTTTGTCTCTGCTGGGGGAGCATGAGCCGGGGTGGGGGCATGGGAAGGCGGGACGCCTGGGTTCCCACAGGACAGTGGCTGAGTCACCAGGCGGCCATCTGGCTCCCATTAGTCCAGGGCGGCAGGGGGCTCTGTGGGGCGGGCCCTGTGGCTGGCTGGGGGCAGGGACACTGGGGCAGGCTGTGTGTGTGTGTGGGATGACTCAGGACCCATGATAACAGCCTGTGCGTATTTGGGGAGTGTAAACAGGAGTGGGAGAGGGAGGCAGAGGAAGTGAAGGAAGGGAAAATTGTGGCTGGGCAGAGGGGGGTCTGTGGGCCTGGGAGGGGGGAGTCCTCTGTCTTCCATACCCGAGCTGGCAGGCCCATGATCCCGTTTTGCCTCTGCCCACCCTTCCCAGCCTCAGCCCCATGAAGAGGCTAGCCCAGGGGCCTGCCCCTGCCCACTGCAAGATCCCACCGCCCAGCAGTCGGCTCTGCAGCCCACAACAGCCAGGTCTGTGGGAGGGGCGCAGGGAGCTAAAACCAGAGATAAAGGCTATAGGACAGATAAGAGGACAGAGACAGCACAGAGCCCAGAGGGAAACAGAAATGCACGACTAGAAAGAACAGGCCCAGAGTGTGTGGCTACAGAAGATAGGGATGTAAAAAGCATGGAGATGCAGAGCGCAGTGGTGACAGCAGACAGAAACAGAGGTGAGGAGAGAGAGGGAGACGGCAGGGAGGGAGACTCTGAGATGCAGAGCCACGTGAGGCCAGTTGCACCAGACTCTGGTCAGGCCCCATTGGCTGGCCTCAGTCAGGGGCGGGGGTATTCATCCTGGCCCTGCTGTGTGGAGAGAGCCTGAGGCAGAGAGAGAGAGGGAAGGGGAGAGTCAGAGGCCAGACTAGAGGAGGGAGAGAGGAGTGGTGAAGTTTGAAGAGAGGGAGAGAGACAGGATAAAAGAGAAGGGCCATCCTGTGGCGTGGTGGTTAAGGCACTGGATCCCACATGGCTAACTGCGTGGTTCAAGTCCCCCACCTGGTGGCTTGAGAAACATAGCAGGCGCCTATGGGTGTGTGCCCCAGATCCCGAGGAGAATAGAGATGGGACTGCAGCATGACCATCACCCCTGGGAGGTGGTGATTTCTCTCCCCCTCCCTCTCTTTCTCTGGCAAATGCCCATGCCCAATAGCAAATTAAAAAGAAAAACAAAAAGAGACCAAGAGAGACAGACAGAAACCCAAAGCAGCAAGAAAAGATGGCAGGGGACTACAAGGGTGATGCATGGCCCAGAACAGTGGGTGAGAGTTGTGAGGGATGAGACCAGACCCAGCGAGGCTAGTACTGTGGGGGCTGCTGCCCTGACGGCCTTTAGAGAAAGAGTCACTGAGCCGGCCTGGAGTCACTGTCTTGTTAGAGCAGAGGGAGGTGGGGAGGGGCGGCCTCAGTCCCCATCCAGCTCCATGCTGGGCGCATCCTCAGGCTCCTCCTCGTCGAAGTACCTCTCCTCCTCATCCCGTGCCACGATGTCCAGGTTGTCAAAGTCAGGATTATCGTCCACTGTGCTGCAGAGGGAGGAGGCTGTCAGAGCTGACCCTCAGAGAGAAAGGTGGAGCTACTCAGGGCTTACAATGAAAGAAGGCATTTCCCAAACCAGGGCAGGCAGCGGTTCTCAATGGGGCTATGCTGCCCCAACCCCAGGCATTATGACACTGTGACTGTCACAACTGGGGCATGCTGGGGCATCCAGTGGCACTGCCGGCAGTGCCAGTTTGAGAACCCGCCCTGAGGTGATCCCAATCCTCCAGAGCTCCCATCACACTCATTTAGGTGATTGAGCCCTTCTCCACCAGCCTGCCCCTTCTGGTGAGATCCTCAGCCTGGCCACCTGGCTGTCCCTCTGTGCCACCTCAGGGATCCTGCACCTGCTGATTTCCCTGCTGGAAACGCGCTTCCTCCAAATATTTATGCCCCTTATACTCACTTTGGGCAGGTCTCTGCTCCTCAGGGATATTTTCCCTGACTGCCTGGTCATGCCCACCCCTGCTTTATTTTTCTTTATGGCCCCATCACCACTAGATGTTAGATAATTCTTTTATATATGTATTTATTTATTTATTGGAGAGGGTTTTGCTATAGGGTGCGTGCGCTCACCAGACAGACAAAAAGAGAGAAATCACCCCCCGGGGGGATGGCCACACCGCAATCCCTTCTCCATTCTCCTCTTGGGATCCTGGGCACACACGCACACGTGCCCGGTGTGAGTTTAAGCCACTGGGTCTGGGACTCGAACCGTAGTCGACTACATGGGAGTTCAGTGACAGCCATTATGCTAACTGCTGGTCCCTATATATTTATTTTTTTCTAGGGTTTGTGTACACTCACCAGAGAGAGAGGAGAGGGAGAGGAGAAAGCACCCACCACAGGGGATGCTCAAGCCACAATCCCTTCTCTTTCATCTCTCCCTACTGTTGGGACTTTGGGTGCATACACACAGGATGTTTCTCTTCTTTCTTTTTTTTTTGGAGAGGTTTTTGCTATAGGGTGCATGTGCTAGCCAGAAAGACAGAGACAGAGAGATAGAAAGTGAGAAGTCAACCCCCCACCCCAGGAGGATGGCCATACCACAATCCCTTTTCCATTCTCCTCTTGGGATCTTGGGCACGCATGCACATGTACCCAGCATGAGATTAAGCCACTGGGTCTGGGACTCAAACTGTGGCTGGCTACATGGGAGTCCAGCGACATAGCCATTACACCAATTGCTTCTCTCCCCAGGACGTTTCTCAAGCCACCAGGTCTAGGACTCAAACTGCGCGGCGGACATGTGGGATCCAGCTCCTTTAAAGGACCATCGTGCCAGGAGCCAGCCTGCTAGGTAATTCTTTATCTCCCTCACTGGAAGAGACCTTGTCCTGGGGTTAGTTTTATTCCCCGCACTCTGTCTCAGTCAGCACATGCTGACTGAATGCACAGAGGAAGGACATGTCTGGGTCACTGCCGCCTGGCAGCTGCCCTCTCGAGGGGACAGGCTGCAGTCCCAGAACTCTACATTTTCTTGTGGCACCTGGGCTTAGGTGGCAGTGGTACCTGAATTATGAGGGTTCCGCATGGCCTCGGCACTCAGCTACCCCCAGGCAGAAACTGGGGCTCTGAGAGGTTCAGCCCTGGCTAAAAGTAGATCAGCCAGACTCAGTCAGAGCCCGGGGAGCCTGGATCATACCAGGATGCTCCAGTCACCAGGTGCTGGCCATGGGCCAGGCCTGTCACAGTGGTGACCGTTCTACTAATGATCTCACCGAGGGTCCACCTGTTCTGGGTCACACAGTTCACGTGTCATCAGGCTGGATTTGAAATCAGGCAACTCTGCCTGGCCTAGTGTATGGGACTGCAAGGCAAGATGGCCTCAGACGACAACACCATGTATCTCTGACTCCTTTCCCTGGTGGCAAAATCCTTGTACAACACAGCTGGCCTGATAGCTCACCCCCAAGGTTATGCTGGAGAAATGAGCACCTGGCACAGTAGGGCACCACAGGTCCCTCAATGCTGGGCATGACCTGGCCAAGGGTCACTTTCTGCAGCATGAGAAGTCTGGGGTTCTGCGAAGAGGCTGGCTCCCTGGATGGTAACCTTGAGAGCATGGGGTGGTGGCAGCCAACCAGGTCACCGCCACCTGACAGATTAGAAACGTGTCACTGTGTATGACTGCTGAGCTAGACGGCAGCCCTGCTCATTCCCTTCCTTGCAGACGAGGGGCTGCAGTTAAGTGGAAAAGGGTAGTCACAGGCACCTGGCCTCCTCCTCCTGGTGATCTGAAACCCCTGGCTCACTGCCAGGAACTGCTCCAGGACCTCCTTACACCACGAAAGAAGGCTGTCTGTGGACGTGCCTGGGGCCTGGCACATGCTGAAGGCAGTGGGGTGCTGGCCTGGGGGATGGGAGCACCTGTAGTCAAAGTCCCCGTCCTTGCCATCCAGGAAGCGCTGGTGCATCCGGCTGGTGAACTCTTCCCGCAGGATCAGCCTCTCTTCTGAGTCAGGGATCCAGGCCTCCGAATCGCTGCCTGACTTCTGGTCTGTGGAGAGAGATGCCCCGAGAGGTGCATGAAAAGTGCACTTGGATAGGCACCAAATACACATTCACAGTGGGTTGCTGCTTCCACGCCCAGCCCTGTGATGAGACTGAGACAGTGCGGCCACAGCCCTCGAGGGCACACGTCAAGCACACACCAGTGTCCTGGAGACACCGCCAGGCTCAGGTCCTACAACCTGAAGGCTGGGGCAGGCAAGCCCTTCTAGCAGGAGGACAGGCCGGACAGGGGAGAGACATAGTGTGTGCCCTTACAGGTTCGAAATGAAGAGACAGATAGGCCTGGGCTCACATGTCCAGGCCCTGGGGTCTCACTGCTACTGGTCCTTACCTTCCTTGTCACTGTCCTCTTCTTCTTCCTCCTCTTCCAGGCAGGCCTCCTCTTCCTCCTGCTGCTGGAGCAGGCGCTGCTGTAGCTCCCGCTCCTGGTAGGACTGAAGCAGCAGGTCAGAGAGTGGACAGGCGGGTGATCCGGGGGAACCGGGCTTGGGGGACTGGTGGGTTGGGGCACGGGCGCTGAGCTCTTCCTGGGTCAGGTACTGCCCAATGTACTGTTCATACAGCAGTGGGGCCCGGAACCGCATCTGCTCATCACTGAAGTACTCGCCCCCTGCATGAGAGACAGGGTGGGGACATGGTGTGTCTGAGCATGCATGTGTCCATGCATGGATACATGTTATCATGCCTGTAGGAGGATAAGTGCACACAAGTCCATGTGTGCTCGCATGCATTCAGAAACATAGAAAATATGCATAGATGCCATACACCCAAGCATGTGCTTGGCCTGTATCTACATGGGTTTTCATGCATTCACACAAGTGTGTACAGGTAGGATTAGCTATGTGTGCATGCCCTCCCATGTGTCTTGCACACTGCCTGTGGGTACCTGTGCGTCTGGGAGTCAGTGTGCAGAGTGACGCAGGCAGGGGTGCCTGGTTGCTGAGTACCAGTCTGTCAGTGGATACAGCTGCACTGTCTGGCACACATGTGTACACCCATATGGATATGGCACGTTTGTGCACAAAATCTGCCCATGGGGGTGTCCCTGGTGAGAGCTGAGTCTTCCTGGTGGTGACAGGTCCCAGATCTGACCTCTTCCCAGAGCACTCCTCTCTGCGGCCACCCCTTCATTCCTGTGTTCTCACCTCCTTCATTCACCCCCCTCCTTTGTCCTTGTTCCCCCATCTGTCCCTGTGTCTCACTCTTTCTACATCAACCTCTCTACAGCTGGCATCCTTTAACTAGAACTTCACTCACTTAAGGCTTTGTTTGCTCTCATCTTGTAATTTTGGTTCTGGTGTCTGGCTACAAAGATGCTTTTTTAAAAAAAAAAAATTATTTAATTTTATTCACTGTCATTATTTTATTTTTTTGAAGTTGACCAGAGAGAGAAGGAAAGTGAGAAAGCAAGCTGCCAGGTCCAGGACTCAAACCATGGTCAGCCATGTGGGAGTCGAGCCACTTTAACTATCATGCCACCTGCCAGTCCACAAAGATGCTTTTAATTATGTCATAGTCAAAAAAGGATCAATGTTCTTCTTTATAGTTTTCCCATGTGTGTCCCAAGAAGGCCTTTGTGCTCCTCAAGGTCATAAACATATATCCCTTGGTTTCCTTCCATGCTTTTGTGTATGGTATGAGGTAGGGATCTGAGGTTTCTTAGGAATCACCAGTTTTCACAATGCCATGTACCATGTCCTCAGCGTGCTGATCTGAAATGCCTCTTCTATGATCTACTAATAAAGATCATTTCTTGTTATCTGTTCCATTCTCTTCCCCTAAGACCCTGTCTACCAATCTTTCCCCCCTTACTTTAAACTCCTGTCTTAGTCTCTCCCTGAGAGACTCTTTATTTTTAGGATTTTTGACATAAGGCACATGCACTTGCTGGAAGGAGAGACAGAAAGAGAGAAAGGGAAAGATCACCCCCCAGGGGGGATGGCCACACCACAATCCCTTCTCCATTTTCCTCTAGAGATTTGGGAACGCACGCATGTGTGTCTAATGTGAGTTTCAAGTTACTGGGTCCAGGATTCACCATGTAAGAGTCTAGCGTCTTTGCCACCACACCACCTGCTGACCCCATGTCCCCATCTCTGCCTAAAAATTTGTCTCAGAATCTGTCTCTGATTTTGCCCCCCCCTCCCCCTTAAAGAGATTTTTGCTATAGGGTACGTGCGCTCACCAGTAATACAGAAAATAAGAAATTACCCTCTGGGGGGATGGCCATGGCACAGTCCCCTCTCCTCCATTTTCTTCTTGGGATTTTGGGCACACACGTACATGTGTCCAGTGTGTTTTAAACTGCTGGGTCCAGAACTCGAACTGTGATCGACTCTGTGGGAGTCCAGTGACATAACCATTACGCCACCTGCTGGTCTCTGATTTTGCTTTCTTGCTTTTCTTTTTAAAAAGAATTACTTTATTTTATTTATTCATTCATTTATTTTAATTTGACCAGAGAGAGAGACTGAGACAGAGACAGATAGTGAGAAAGTAAGCTGCCAGGTCCAGGACTTGACTGTGGTCAGTTATGTGGGAGTGTCCGGCACCTTAACCACCATGCCACCTGCTGGTCACTCCTGATTTTGCTTTAATATCTCTGATTCTCATCCCTCTGTTCCCTTCTAACTTCCCACCTGTGCCTACCTCACCCATCTGCCCCCGTACCTTGGATGAGCTCTCTCAAGGCAGCATAGCGCCGGTTACGCAGATGGGTGCGCAGGGTGCGGGGCCGAGCAGTGCCCCGTCGGGCCACCTCAGCGCAGTAGAAGTCGGCACGGTGGTCACCACGCAGGTGGCTGAAGCAGGCCAGGTGCTCTTCTCGGAGACCTGTGCGGAAGCGCTCCAAGAACACCAGCGGCTTCTCGTGGTACAGCTGGCTCAGGATGGCCACCTTCTCTCGTTCTGTCAAGTCAGGCTCACCCTGCTGCTGGCTAGAGGGGGGGCGGCCAGCCACAGCATGTAGCATGGCACTGACTGCTGCATCCTCACTTTGGGGGGTTCCACCCTCCAGGGCCTCTGAGTCTTCCTTAGTTGTTTCCACCTTGTCCTGGGGTCTGGATGGGACCAGTGTTTGGCTCAGCTCCCCCCAGTGCCCAGGTCTGGGCTCAAAGCAGCCTGTGAGGGAGGAGAGATCTGTTAGTTCAAGGATGAGAGTAGGGGAAGGAGGAAGAGTTGTGTAGAATCCAGTTTGGTGCTCAATCACTGAGTCGATTCATATTTATTAAACACCGACTATATCTTGAGCATACTTCTAGGCCTTAGAGATCCACAGAGAGCAAGAAATTGACACAAACAATTAACAACACAATACTAAAAAAAATAGCAGGTGTTAGGTGTTTCCCCAAGCTATTAAAAAAAAAAAAAAGGAAGGAGAGAACGGAGGGAAGGGTTAGAGGAGACTTTGCCAAAAAAAAAAAAAAAAAAGTGACAGAGACCTGAGGTAGTGAAGGACTGAGCCATGAGATTTCTAGAGAAAGAGAACTCTGGGCTAAGGGAATAGCTAGTGCAAAGGCCCCAAGGCCTGACTTACTAATTCACCCAGTTATTTTGTCTTTTTACTTGTTCACAAAATCATTAATACATTCATTTACTGGGCCAGCAGGTGGTGTGGTAGTTGGGGCAATGGATCCACATGGCCGACCAACGTTTGAGTCCTAGGCCTGGAGGCTTGCTTTCTCACTTTCCCCTGCTCTCTCTGGTCAAATTTAAAATAAATAAATAATTCTTGAGGGAAAAAAGATTCTGGGACCACCAGATGGCGTAATGATATTGCTGGACTCCCAGATAGTAGACCAAGGTTTGAGTCCTGGACTTGGCAACTTAAAACTCACACCAGGAAAGTATGCATGCGTGCCCAAAGTCCCGAGTGGAGAATGGAGAAGGGAAATTACCTCTGGGGTGATTTCTCACTCAAGTGAGCACACATGCCCTGTGGAAAAACCTCTTAAAAAAATCACTTACTTGTTCACTCATCATTCCTTATTTATTTGAGGATTTTATTTATTTATTTATTTATTTTTTACTACAAGTTCGCTATCAGGTCTGGGGCTCCAACTGCTGTAGGCCATGTGAGAGTCCAGAGCCCTTAACCACCATGCCACCTGCTGTCTCTTATTTCATAAATTTTTGTTATAGGGTACATGCGCTGGCTGGAGAGAAAGACAGAAAGAAGTCATCCCCCCGGGGTTGGGTGGGGTGGCCACGCAGCAATCACTTCTCCATTCTCCTCTTGGGACACTGGACACACACACATACGCTCCTGGCATGAGTCTCAAGCTGCCAGGTCTGGGGCTGGAATGTCACATGGGAGTCCAGTACCCTAACCACTGCACCACCTGCTGACCCTCATTTCTTCTCTTATATACTCACCCAGCTACTCTTGAGCAATTCAGAATCTATGTGGAAGCCCCAAGCCAGGCAATGCTGAGGACTGGGAGGAGTCCAATCTACCTCTTGCCCTGAGGAAACACCCAGACTAATGCGGAGCTAGTCAAGATTAAAAATGAGTGGGGCCAGCAGGCGGCATGGTAGTTAAAGGCACTGGACATGGCCAGCCACAGTTTTGAGTCCCAGACCTGGTGACTTGCTTTCTTACTCTCCCTCTCTCTCTGGTCAAATTAAAAAAAAAAAAAAAAAAAAAAGTTTAATAAAATAATTTTTTAAAAAAGAGTTATTTATGGGAACCAGCAGTTAGCATAATGGCTATGTCGCTGGACTCCCACGTAGTCGACTGCGGTTCGCGTCCCGGACCTGGTGGCTTAAAATTCACACCGGGCGCGTGTGCATGCGTGACTGAAATCCTGAGAGGAGAATGGAGGAGCAAGGATTGTGGCGTGACCATCCCCCCCAGGGGGTGATTTCTCGCTTTCTGTCTCTATGTCTCTGTCTGTCTGGCGAGTGCACACGCCCTATAGCAAAAAGCCTCTCAAAAAAAAAAAAAAATTGTATTATTTAGTTTTATTTATTCATTCATTTTAATTTGATCAGAGAGAGAGACACACACACAGCAAGAGAAAGAGAAAGTGAGAAAGCAAGCTACCAGGTCCAGGCCTCAAACTGTGGTCGGCCATGTGGAAGTATCCAGCATCCTAACCACCGCACTACCTGCTGGTCCCCCAAATCTTTTTCTTTTTTTAAGAATTATTTTATTGGGACTAGTAGATGACGTAATGGCTATGTAGCTGGACTCTCATGTAATCGACCACAGTTTGAGTCCTGGACCCGGTGGCTTAAACTCATGCCGGGCACGTGTGCATGTGTGCCCAGGATCCCAAGAGGAGAACAGAGGAGAAGGGACTGCGGTGTGGCCATCCACCCTGGGGGGGTGATTTCTTACTTTCTGTCTTTCTCTGTCTGTCTCTGTCTTTCTGGCAAGCACACGTGCCCTATAGCAAGCAAAACTTCTCCAAAAAAAAGAAATTATTTTATTTAACTTTACTTTTTAATTTGACTAGAGAGGGACAGAGCATGAGAACGAGAGAAAGAGTGAGAGAGAGAGAAAAAAAGTGAGAGAGCAAGCCACCAGGTCCAGGACTCAAACCGTGGTCAGCCATGTGGGAGTATCCTGCACCTTAACCACCAGGCCACCTACCGGCCCCAGTAAAATAATTCCTTAAGAATAAAAAGATTGGGGGGCAGGTAGTATGGTGGTTAAGGGTGCTGGACAACCACATGGCCGACTGTGGTTCAAGTCCCAGACCTGGTAGCTTGTTTTCTCACTTTCCCTCCCCGCCGCCTCTCTCTCTGGTCAAATTAAAATAAATGAGTAAAGTTAAAATAATTCTTTAAAAAAAAAAAAAAAAAGATGGGGCCCAGGAGGTGGCATGGTGGTTGGGGGCACTGGACTCCCACATGGTTGACTGCAGTTTAAGTCCCAGACCTGGGGTTTGCTTTCTCACTTTCTTTCTCTGACTTTGTCCTTCTCTAGTCAAAATAAAATTAAATAGATAAAGTTAAATAATTCTTTTTTTTTTGGAGAGGTTTTCGCTATAGGATGCGTGCGCTGACCAGAAAGACAGAGAGAGACAGAGAGACAGAAAGCGAGCAATCACCCCCTAGTGGGGATGGCCACACTGCAATCCCTTCTCCTCTACTCTCCTCTTGGGATCTTGGGCATGCACGCACAAGCACCCAGTGTGAGTTTAAGCCACCGGGTCCAGGACTTGAACCGCAGTCGACTACATGGGAGTCCAGCGACATAGCCATTGCACTAACTGCTGGTCCCAAATAAAATAATTCTTTAAAAAATTAACATTAAAGAAAATACAGGCAAAGACAACAGGAAAGCTATGTGCTGGGCAAACCTTGGGAAGAATTGTTTTCTGGGAACTGGTGCAAGCACACAGCAAGCAGAAAATAATTGAAGACATAGCTTCTGTGTAAGAGGAGGAGAGAGCTGTAGTGGATTCAGGGAAGGTATCAATCATTGAGGCAAAAGAAAGAGTGAGCTGGACAAGGGCAGGAGCTGCAGAGTAGAAGAGGAAGGCTGGGGGGTGTTGGTTAGAAAGATGTTCAGGAGGCCAAGTAGACAGGACATGGGCTGAAGAGGCTGGGTGTTAAGGGAGGCTTCGAGAATAAGGTGTAGGGCTCCGGCTTGGGCAATGGTCAGACTATCCCTCTGAGATAGGGAAATGGACTAGAAGCAAATACAGTGGAGATGCTAAGGCCAACTTGGGACAGAGGGTATGACAGGCCTGGGGGACATTGAAGGGGTGGCATCTAAGAGATTGCTGGCACATGGGCCTCTAGACTCCTAAGGAGGAAATACTGGGTTAGACACAGAGCGGTGGGTATAATCAGAGCCAAGTCAAGAATCAAGTCCAGGAAACCAGCAGTTAGCGTAATGGCTGTGTCGCTGGACTCCCACGTAGTCGACCGCGGTTTGCGTCCCGGACCCGGTGGCTTAGAATTCACACCGGGAGCGTGTGCGTGCTGCCCAAGATCCTGAGAGGAGAATGGAGGAGAAGGGATTGCGGCATGACCATCCCCCCTAGGGGGTAATTTCTCACGTTCTGTCTCTATGTCTCTTTCTATCTGTCTGGCGAGCACACTCGCCCTATAGTGAAAATCTATCCAAAAAAAAAAAAAAGAACCAAGTCCAGAGAAATGAGGTATGGGTGGGGGATTTGACAGGGATTAGACAAAAAAGTACTCAACAGACAAGGAGGACACACCTGTGAAGGCTAAAAACTGGTTTCCCAAAAGATACCACATTAGGCCCAGCAGGCAGTGTGGTGATTAAGGTGCTGGAATTTCACATGGCCAGCCGCAGTTGAGTCCTGGACCTGGCACTTGCTTTCTCACTTTCCCTTTCTCTCTCTCTGGTCAAATTTAAAAAAAAATAATAATTAAAAAATAAAATAAAAAAAGTAACAAGTGGAATTAAATAAATAACTTTTTTTTTTTTAAAAAGTGTCTTTTTTTAATCTATTATTGTTATTACTATCAACTTTGCTATTGGGCATATACATTCACCAGAGATAGACAGAGTCAGAGAGAGAGTGAGAACACAGAAAATATTTGACCTTTAAAAAATTTAAAAAATTAAAAGAGAAAGGGAGACAGAGAGAGACAGAGTGAGAAAGCAAGCTGTCAGGTCAGGGACTAGAAATGTGATTGGCCATGTGGAAGTCTAGCACCCTAACCACCATGCCATCTGCTGGACCCAAGGTAGCCACTTTAAAAAAAATAATTATTCTATTAAAATTATTCATTTATTATCATTATTTTTCAATTTGACCAGGGAGAGACAGAGAACGTGAGAAAGCAAGCCACCAATCTGGGACTCGAACTGTAGTCTCCCATGTGGAAGCCCAGTGACTTTAACCACCATGCCACCTGCTGGTCCTAAGATAGCTACCTTTTTTTTTTTTTTTTTTTTTAAATTACTTAATTTTATTTATTACCATATTTTAAAATTTGTTATAGGACACTTACCAGACAGAGAGACAGAGAGAGAGAGAGAGAGAGAGAGAGAAAGTGAGAAAGCAAGCCACCAGGTCTGGGATTCAAACCATAGCCAGCCATATAAGAGTCCAGTATCTTAACCACTATACCACCTGCTGGCTCCAATAGCCACTTCTTAATCCCTGGCACCTGTGACTATTACCTTAGATGACAGGGGGAAAAAAGTTACTCACAGATGTAGTTAAATTAAGGATCTGGAGATGGAGACAGTCCCAGATGACCCAGCTGGGCCCTAAATGCAATCACAAGCACCCTGTAAAAGAGGCCCCAGGAAGATCTGACATAGGAAGGAAAAGGCAATGTGAAGACAGAAGCAGACATTGGAGCAGCTGACAAGCCAATAATTTGAGAAGGCACTGCTGGCTGCAGAAGCAAGGAACAGGTTCTCCCCTGGAGCCTGTGAGGGAGCGTGGTCCTGCTGACACCTTGACTTCAACCTAGTTTCTGATTTCCGATGTCTGGCCTCTTGAACAGTGAGTAAATACATTTCTGTTGTTTTAAGCCACCCCGTTTACAGCAAATTGCCACAAACTGGTATAACAGGGAGGCTGAGAAGGAGCAGCCTGAGAGGAGGAAGGAAACAGGAAAAAGTAGTGCCAGCGTGAAAACTTACAAGGAAGATGGAAGGGTCAATGGTGTCACATTCTCTAAGTAGTCTAGTAAGGAAAAACTGAACGGGGCAATTGGAGAAGTACATGGAGAAGTCAGTAGGGACCCTCATCAGCAGTTTCTGATAAGGTAAAAGCCAGTCTGCATCGGGTGGGAGGTGAGAAGACAGAGACAAAAGCAGACAACTCTTGGGAAAAGACACACGGTATCTGAAAGGTTGCATGCGGATCAATGGATAGACTTTCTTCTTAGGTTAAAAATGCTTTGATATTAGCAATGTCAGACATACACAAAAGTAGAAGGTACAATGATAGCCTTTCCCCCGCTTCCATATACTCACTATCAAGCTTCAACAATGACCAAGTTTTGGCGAGTGGTATTTCAGTCAACCTCTCAAACAAGCCTCACTCCACAATGGATTGCTCTGAAGCAATGGAATGGATTTTATTTATTTATTTTTTAAATTTGCTATAGGACTTGTACACTCACCGGAGAGAGACAGAGAGACAGAGAGAGGGGAAAAGTCAAAAATCATGGCCAGGTGGTATGGCCATGCTGCAATCCCCTCTCCTCCACTCTCTCTAGGGATTTCCGGCACATTGTGTACACACACTCAGTGTGGTTTTCAAGCTGCCAGGTCTGGGGCTCAAACCTCAAAGTTGCCTTAACCACCATGCCACCTGGCTGGTCCCGAGATGGAATTTTTAAAAAAGTATTATTTATTTATCATTATGAGTATCTTTTAGTTTGCTACAGGGCTTGTATCAGACAGAGAGAGAGAACATGAGAAAGCTAGCAGCCAGCGGGACTCCAGTCGTGCTTGACCATGTGGGAGTCCAGCCCTCGACCACCAGGCAACCTGCAGATTCTGGGTCCTGGGGTGGAATTTTAAGATGACTAATACAAAACATTTTATTGTAAGTTCTGATGAGAAGGCATGGTTGAAATAAAGGAGATTGAAGATGCAGGGGAGAGAGATGAGGGAAGTGCAGAAATGGAGTATGGATATTGAGGCAGACTGAATTGGAAACTTCCGGGAAAAAGGAGTTAGAAATAAAGGAGCCGGGGGCCGCCAGGCAGCGTGGTGATGAAGGCGCTGGACCTTCAATGGCTGGCAGCGGTTTGAGTCTTGGACCTGGTGGGTTGCTTTCTCAGTCTCCCTCTCTGTCTCTCTCTGGCCAAAATTAATAAATAATAAATAAATACTATTCAATACATAATTCTTGAGAAAAGAAAGGGCAGGGAATTTGCATGCGAACCACGGTTGACTACGTGGGAGTCCAGCGACATAGCCATTACGCTAACTGCTGGTTCCCATTCAATACATAATTCTTGAGAAAAGAAAGGGCAGGGAATTTGCGGAGGATGGGCAGGAGGGCGGTTAGCCTGTCTGGCACCGAGGAGGGGATCTGGGAAGGGCTGGCCCGCGACAGTGGGAGAGTTAGCCGGGTAGGGGAGCGGTTTCTGCCAGCCTGAGAGTTAGCCAGATAAGGAGACGGGTTAGCCTGGGACATGCAAAAGGGTATCTGGAGGGGGAGTGGAGGTAAAGGGGAGGGTTAATCTGGGAAATGCGGAGGACAGGTAAAGCTGAAAACCGGCGTCCCCCTATAAAGAGTCCTCCTTCGCGTTCCCGGGACTCATATCCTAGTGACACGGCAGCCGCACTCGCCCACGGCCTCCGTGTGCCAGCACCTCACCCCCATCGCGTGCCCCTGCCGCCGTGGTGGTCTCCACAGCCTCCATGCCGGTCTCACCAACTCGCTGCCAACTGCCGTAGCCGATTCCGCAGGCCAAACTCTGCCCCACCACCTCCCCAGCCACTTCCGGCTGAGTACGGCCAAGAGGATCCGGTACTTCACTGAGCCCAGTTACCAAAGTTCCGGCCCGAAGGCGGGCTTTTCTTTGCGCACACCCCGCCCCCCCCCCCCCGCCAGCCACTTCCGGCTGAGTACGGCCAAGAGGATCCGGTACTTCACTGAGCCCAGGTACCAAAGTTCCGGCCCGAAGGCGGGCTTTTCTTTGCGCATGCGTGCTTCCCTCCGGTCCCGCCCTCCGCAGCCAGCAGGAGCCACTGGGTGCGCCGAGTCTACCACCAGTAATTGGGAAAACCCTGAGGGGTCTGAACTATTGCTCGCTGACTCCAGCTCCCGACATGCTTAATTTTGGGATGGGTGGTTGCACAGCCACCTTCCAGGACCTGGAACTGTCATGACTTGTGCTCTGGCTTAGACTCCAGTCTATCCCTGCTTTCACCACCTTGATGAGTATTTACTAAACCTCGACTCTTGTCATAACCAGTCCTGGCTGGCATGGTGAGATTAGAGACAGAATTTACCAGTACCTGGAGGAAATCTGCAGATGAGGAGGAAGACAACTGTGGTCCTGATTTGCCCTATGGGATGTGTAGGGACTCACACACAGGTGTCTTGTTGCCAACAGAAGTCAGGGCACCAATGGCTACCAAGCAATCAGGCCTCTAATAGGCCCAGGTTGCTGAGGGACCTCTATGCCTGGCTGGAGGGTAAGGGAAGGCTCCTTTCTAGAAGACACTCAGGCTGAGACCTGAAGGATAACCAGTTTGTTAAGAAAGGAGGCAAGGGAACCAGCAGTTAGTGCAATGGCTATGTCGCTGAACTCCCACAGTCGACCCCGGTTTGCGTCCCGGACCTGGTGGCTTAAAACTCACACCAGGTGCGTGTGTGTGTGCCCAAGATCCCAAGAGGAGAATGGAGAAAGGATTGCAGCGTGACCATCCCCCCGGGGGGTGATTTCTCGCTTTTTGTCTCTATGTCTCTGTCTGGCGAGCGCATGCACCCTATAGCGGAAAAACCTCTCCAAAAAAAAAAAAAAAGAGGCAAGAAAGGGTTCCAGGTAGGATGGGTGGTGTGGCTAATTGCTGCAAACACTTCAGGGAACAGGAAAGGAGTTCTACCTTGAAGGCCATGTTTAGACTGTGGATTTGAGAACCTCATGAACCTTTAGGCAAAGTTCTACAGTATTCTTTTCCAAGGCAAATATTCATAGCTTTTGTAGGTACCAAAAGGGACTTGTGATTCCCCACAATAAAAAAGCTACTTATCTAAAGTTCAAAGTGGGAGCAGAAAGAGGTGAAACCAATGAGGTATCAGGTGCCAGGCCAGACAGGCAGGGCCTCATAAGTTGTATTGAGCAGCTTGGGCTACTTTGTCCTCTAGGAAGTGGGCAAGGGGCTGAGGATGAGACCTGCAAGGAAGTTGGTGCAATAATCAATCCAGAGACCAGAGAGCAGAGGAGGGACTTCCTTGTTTGCATTCTCATGAGATCTGGACTAGTGAAAAGCCTGTTTGCCACACTAGATAGGTAGACTATATACCTAGGCTTATTTCCAGGAGACCAGCAGAGGGCACTATGGCCAAGCACATGGATACACAGGAGACTTCTTAGAGGTTCTCCCTGCTCCCTTTCTGAGCAGGGGGTGGGCACGCTAGGGTTCCTTTCAGCTGCCAAACCTAGCCCCTTCTCACCTCTAGGTGCCCTATCCCTGACCTCAGCAGTAATCAACCTTCTTCCTGTTTCTGTAGCCAAGGGTCTTTACAAGGTTCAGAGCTCCTTCGAGGGAAGGGACTGGGGCTGAACTGGCCACTCTGCCCGACCAGAGTGCCAGACATAGCATGTACTGAGAATGAACAACTGAAACAAACTGCTGAGGATAGATGACAAGTGGTGGGATGCAACCTGCAAGTCACTTAAAGTGAGAAACCACCCCCCGCCCCCTCAGGGATGGTCATGCCACAATCCCTTTGCCTCCACTCTCTCAGGATGTCTGACACATGCACGTACACACACACACACATGCGCGCATTTCAAGCCGCTGGGTCCAAGACTCGGGCTATGGTTGACCAGGTGTGGAGTTGTTCCTTAATCACTATGCCACGTGCTGGCCCCAACCTGCAAGTCTCTTAACCTGGCCCACCCATGTAATTTTACCTTCTTCAGGAAGCCTCTCCCCACCCCTAACATCCCAGGTTCTTACAGCTGACCCCTAGGTGCTATCTGATGACTCTGAAGTGGGAGCTCAGTGAGAACAGGTTCCACGTCTGCCGTAGCGATGCTTGGTCCCAGCACTGCTCAGGATGGTTGAGGAAGAGAGCAGGTGTCCACCATGCATTAGCCAAGAAACCAATCTTTGATAGCCTGGACCACAGAACAGGCAGGGAGCATCCTCAGGGCAGCACCTAGGTCAGGCCTGCACGGATATTCAGTTAATGCCCAACGATGAATGATCCTGAACCAAGCAGCCCTGGTGTCTCCCCTACTGGTCCCACCTGTGCCTCTACCGAGGTATCTGTTCCATGACTTCTACCCAAAAACTCCTGGAGGGATTTGGGACTGAGAGATAGAGAACCCCTTTAGAAGTAAATGAGTGGATTTTAAACCACTCATTTGAGAATCTCATGAACCTGTATGCAAAATTCCACAGTATCTTTTTGGGCGGTGGGGCACCAAAACAGGTCAGGCACATGAATCCCTGAATAAGCGTTTAACGAATAGTTTCCCCTTGAAAAGGTCTCCCACCCCAATTAAAGGCCAACTGAAGGGACACTTTGAGGTTTTGACCCTGCTTCCTTCCTGCTAGGAGGTGCCATAGTCATTTATTGAAACAAAACAAAACGAAACGAAACAAAACAGGGCAAACACATTTCTTAATAAGTGCAGTTTGTTAAAATTCTGTTAAAACATCCTGGTCAAGGGAAAGTAAAAAATCATCAAAAATCCCTGGAGGAAAAACTTCAGTCTGACACCTGGGAGACCACTTGAGAGGAGGAAGGGGGATAAACCCAAGTTCTGAAGGGAAGGAACCCCATGTCCGCCACCCCTCTTCCCTCTCACCCACTGAACCCCACCAGAAACTACCAGGACACCTGGAGTAAAAGTTTCAAGTTCAATAGTCACACTCTCTCCAAATACAAAAAGCAGTTACAATTCAACTGAACACAGAAGCTTGTGTGCAAAGTTATGGGGAACTGAGACATCGTATAAAAAGTTAGGTTAAAGATGATTCTGTGGCTTTGTTTTGCGTGGTTTGTTTTGTTTTGAGGGTGTGGTTCTTCCTCGGTCACCTGAACTCAGCAAAAAAAAAAATGGTTCTCTTGATGAAATATCAACGGCTGACCCACAGTAAAAACAGACAAATTCTAAAAATTAAAAAAAAAAGCATAATTACCAAAAAAAAAGTCACTGCTTCCTCCCTCCACATTTTGCTTTTTAAACTTTTTTTTTTTTTAAAGTTTTTGATTTTTTTTAATCCTGAAAAGTAGACAGTAAAACAGCTCCTGGAAGAATTTACAACCAACTGCATGAGGGGGCTGGGAAACTGAAGGGCTGGAGCAGGGTTAGGACAAGTGGACAGGAAGGGTCCCCCTCCTCAGTCACTGTAGCCTTGCTGTTTGACCAAGGGGGCGTGGGGAAATCTCTAATCAAAAAGGAGGAAGAATGGATGGGGATAAACAGAAAATAAAAGATCATTGTTGCCTGTTTGAATCCAGAGAAAAATGCCTGGCCCTGTGTGGGGGAAAGAAGCCCCTCAGAGGGGGAGGCAGTGGGCTGGAGGGAGGCAGCCCTGGGATGACCCGACCCCAGCACCACAGGACCCAGTTGGGTAGAGGAGGGGGCCAAGGCAGGCGCTGGTGGAGGAAGCCGGCAGGGGCCTCTGGGACGCACTGGCTACTGTGTGCTTGTGCCACCCTGTGTGTTCCCGGAGTAGCTCCCGTAGTCGTAGTTCCCGTAGTATGGTGGCCACTGGCCCTGGTTCTGATAGTACTGGTTCCACTGCTGGGCATACTGGGGAGAGAAAAAACAAGAGTACCAAGATGCTCTTTATCCACCCCACAGCTGGCTGCTCCCCAAGCCCACCCTCGACAAGGCAGAGATGAATACAGTGACAACAGTTGACACAGGGGTCCCCTGACAGAGGAATCAAGGCAACTTGGGAGGCCAACTGACTGATCTGGTGCCATGGGGATGGGCACTTAGGGACCGAATCCAGGTATCCTGGCTTGTCAATCTACTGCCTTTTCAGGTACAGCTAGATATTATATTCAAAACAGAGTTAAGGGACCAGTGGTTGGCATAATGGCTATGTCACTGGATTCCCATGTAATTGACTGTGGTTCGAGTCCCGGACCTGGTGGCTTAAACTCAAGCTGGGTGCATGTGCGTGTGTGCCCAAAATCCTGAGAGGAGAATGGAGAAGAAGGGATTGCAGCATGGCCATCCCCCCTGGGGGGTGATTTCTCGCTTTCTGTTTCTCTCTGTCTTTCTGGCAAGCGCAAGCGCCCTTTAGCAAAACAAAACAAAACAAAACAAAACAAACACCACTGAAAAAAAAGACACACACACACAAAAACAAACCAAAAAAACCAAACAGAGTTAACAGGCATGGCAGCCAGGATACCAACCTCAGTTAGACTTCGAGCCCCCTGGCCATGGTGCTGAAGCAGCACCCTGCTGTACTGAAGAGGGACTGGGATACTGTAATAGTTAGTCTTGGTTCCCGTAGTATGGTGGCCACTGGCCCTGGTTCTGATAGTACTGGTTCCACTGCTGGGCATACTGGGGAGAGAAAAAACAAGAGTACCAAGATGCTCTTTATCCACCCCACAGCTGGCTGCTCCCCAAGCCCACCCTCGACAAGGCAGAGATGAATACAGTGACAACAGTTGACACAGGGGTCCCCTGACAGAGGAATCAAGGCAACTTGGGAGGCCAACTGACTGATCTGGTGCCATGGGGATGGGCACTTAGGGACCGAATCCAGGTATCCTGGCTTGTCAATCTACTGCCTTTTCAGGTACAGCTAGATTTTATATTCAAAAC